GGGAAAGAAGACTCTGATTTTGACTTGGTCTAATATAGTCTCTTGGCAATACTCAATTAGTATTATTACTATTGGGGTAGAAAAAGGAAAATTTTAATTATTTGGAATAGTGAGCATCTACCAGTGGGACTGGATCTCAGATTAAATTCAATGATAGAACACTAGAATAATAATACAAGTGGCTATTATTATCCTTTGCTTCTAACACTCAACTCACTCAATGTAGATTTGTTGAATTAAATTAACCCTGACAACTTACTTTTATATATTGATTTGCAGTTTTCAAAGTATTTTTAATTCTCAGTTTAACGGAAAGAGCATTGAACTACCAGCATACTTTGATCCTTCTCTTTTAATATACAGAATAGTCGTGCTTTGAAAATGAGCCTGCTTTGGGAAGCATTTTGCCTCGTTTTGTTATGAAGAAATTTTCTAAAGGACCTTGGGTAGAGTTTTCACTTCTCACTGAAAATAAATCAGTAACAAGAAGGAGTTTTTTCAACACAGAACACTTCTGATTTTAACCGTTAATACATTTCCAAAGCATCCTCTCTGTGGCAGATGCTGCTCTGTACCCCTTTGGCCTGAGACCCTCATGTCCCTGGTGAGCTCCAGCTGCCAGGGCTTTCTCCCAGGTGTGGGGAGGCAGGAGGAGCTGCCATGTTAACATCCCCCCAGACCATCCCTCAACCAATGGCTGATGGAGCTGGTGTATAAATACCCCAACATGCCCGAGCATCCCATCCCACGTGAGATAACTCTGACACACATATTCCACACCATCTCCCAGAGTTTCCCAGTGGGATGAAGTTCCAGCCTCTGACTGCGGTAACTTGTTTCATAATGCACTGTTTATTGGCTTCCTTCCCTTCCTGTCTCGTTTGGCTTCCTGACCCTGCTTCCTGGAATCGCCTCCTACATAAAGTACTTCCACTCAAACCCTAGTCTCAGGGTCTGCTTCTGGGGATACCCAAATAAAGACTCCCCAAAGCACCTTTCCCTGGAAGGGGTCTGGGCTAGCTCATCACATCCGAGCCACTAAGTCACTTAACAAGGTGTGGAGCTGCCTATTAATCCTCTGCTCAAACAATCTTTGAAGCTATCACCGTCCACTGATTTCATTACTCTCCTGGGCAGGTTTATTCCACTTGCCAGTCTCACTCTGTTAATGATAGTGTAAAATTTTTAATTAAAAATAAAGAAGATAAATGTAGTTAGTAGCTGCAAAGTTGTCACTCTCAATGCTACTCAGGGTGGGAGAGACACTGTCACTGGTAAAAACCACTAGGCTCAGGCTCCCTGCTGAGGAATTAAGAATGAGATATTTGGCTGTTCAGTTTTCTCACCTATACCAAGGAGGTAGACAATTTTCACAGCCATGTGTAAATATATATAACTGCTTCGTAAGGTTCCAAGTTTTTGATAGATGTTGAAGACTTAGACTTTACGCTGGATGGAAGTTGTCAAGAATGTGCAGTTTTATACAGAAGCCACATTTTCTGTTCAATTCTTAGATGCCACCTAGTTTAAGTGTAGACGTTGTCATCTCTTCACAAACAGCCCCGTCAAGTGGTCATCTACCCTCTGCTTGAACACTTTCAGGTATGGAGAATTCATTACCTTAATTTTTTTGTTTTTTCTTTTCTTTTTTTTTTTTTTTTGTCTTTTGTCTTTTTTCCGTGTCCGGCAATGGATCGCAACCCTCAGTGTCGCCCCCGGACCGGACCGGGGACCGGCAACGGGATCGCAAGCCTCGGTGCTGCTCCTGTGCCTTGCTCATCCAGTGAGTGGGAGCCGGTCTGTATGTGGGATCCGAACCCTCGGACGGGAGCGCCGCCGCGCTTCCCAAGCGGCGCACTATCCAGTGCGCCACCGGGCCGGCCCTGTTTTTTCTTTTTTTTCATTAACCTCAATCACTTACAGTTATTCCTTTAATGGAATTAAAAACTTCCTTCTGTAGTTACCACTTTTGGTGGGAATTCTCTTGGAAGAAATTACTGAACAAGTGGAATGCCTCATCCCACAAGGGAAATTTGAAATATTTGAAAACGTATTTAATGTGCCTCTTAAGTTTTTTTTTTCCCCCTCAGAATATACTTTTCCAGTTATTTCAGCTCTCCCTAGGAGGTTCTGGTTTGGAGTCCCTCTACTACGCATGTCACTGTCTGTTACTCTGAGACACTCATTGGAAACAAACTAATTGCCCAACAATTAGGGATCAGAATGTTTAAATGAATGATGGCATGGGGTAATACTATGTAGTCCTAAATACCATGTTTTGAAGAATATTTAATAATATAAAAGTATTCATGACCTACCAAGTGCAAAGGCAGAATATATAAGAAGAGCCCAATTTCATTAAAAAATATACATGTAGAAATGAAAGTCCAAAAACACGTCAGAATACTCAGAATGGTGGTATTATGTGTAGTTTTGAATCTGTTTTCTGCTTTTCCAAGTTTTCAACAGAGAACACGTACTTATTTCTTAATTAGAAAAAAAAAGTTTTTGGAAAAGAAAGAAAAAAGGAAAAAAAAAAACCACAGTGCTCATACAACCCATGGGGTTTTTCAGGTATGTCTCAATTTGGATGGATCACTTCCCAATTTCAGATGAGGGTTTTTGGCAGATGAATCACACTGTCCACTAACATCGTACCTGCTGCGCATCACAGCCCCGGAGGGTTTCCTCCCACCTGGTGTTGGGAACAGCCTGCCAGGAACCGCCCGGGCTGGGTGAGGCACAGGCCGGGATAAGGACCCGGTCAGGACCACGAGCAGGAGGGAGGCCGGGGGTGGCCAGCTCTCCAGCTTGAAGTCCTATGTGGCTGTCCTGCGAGGCGCTGGGTCCCGGAGCTGGAGGGAAGCGTGCAGAACAGCTGCCTGTGTGTGCAGGGGGCAGCCCTGCACAGCTCGGTAAGGAAATGCCTCGGATGTATCAGAGCCGTGGAGAAAATGCAACGCACACGTTTCTCACGCTCCCCATCAGAGACATCTCCAGGGCCCTGCAGTTATTGGGGATGCAGAGAAAGTCAGGAGGAGGCGAGCAAGGACTGTGCTGAGAATGGTGCCTTTAAGGAAGCTAGCAAACAGCCAGCGCACACAGCTCCTTGCGTGTTTGAGGGGAAGGGGATACGGGAGGAGAGGGGGACACGGGAGAAGGGGAGGGGGACACAGGACCGCTGGGGCCTCTGCATCTCACAGGCACTTATCGTTTTCTCTACAGAAGTGGATTATCATCACTGGGCAGATGGCTTAACTTGTATCACTTCTCTCTGGGGCCATATGGCTGGACTGTGCCAAATATTCATTTAACATTATTTTAAAATATTAAAAATGATGCTTAGCTCAATTTATACTCTTCTAAATTTATAAGACCCATGCAGAAATACAAAACATAAAACATCCGTGCCATTTCCTGTTTCCTAAACCCATGGAAAATCCCCACTTTCTTTTTTGCAATGTAGATACACACACCTTCCAGGGCAAGTGACCCAGCATGTTGACCTCCAAACACTTCTGCTTGTTAATCGTCTTTTCTCCTATTTAAACCCTTGTTTTCTTAAATATGAGTCTCCTCAGCTACTAATATTTTTTATAGCTAGAATTCTGGAGGTTATGGGAGAAGTATAGCTTAGGAATAGTTTGGATAATTTTAAGTGAACACACCAATACTTGAATATTGTACTCCCTGGGTTAAAATAAAGTGATTGATTATGTTTAAAGGGCTTGTAGATTTCATCAGGAAAGCAGCATGTGACTTACTGAGTCAAAAAATTAGAGTGTGCGGCTGTAGCCTAGCAGGGTTTTACTTTGATTCTCCTTTAACACTTTTTGTTTGTCAAGGGATAATAAATGCTGAATATTGTGGAAGTCAGCGTTAAGTGGTCATAAACAACAAAAATAACCAAAAAAGGATAATGTTCTTACTTTCATAAAGCTATGGTTGTAAGGTGAATTGCAGCAGTTTTTTGGCTTTTTGCCATTGGTTTTGTCTGGCAAGAACCTAAATGGCTCATTTCCACCCTTCAATTCAGTATCATCAAGCTCAGGGTTGATTTAAGCCTTGCCAAGTCTCTCTCTCCTTTGCTCCTCCCTTGGCTATCTTCTTGGCACTCTGTTCTTTCAGATTTCAGGTTTCTTTCTTTTCTTCTCACAAAGACACTGTCATGGCCTGTTGCTAGGCCCTAATCCTAGTCCATTTGTTGTTGCCCTGACTGTGGCTCTAATAAGATGGGCAGTTCGTGTGTGCATGTGTGTAGAGGATGCATAGAGTATATGTACTTCACAGGGCCTGGTTTTCCAAAGCCTCGAAGTTTCAAATATTGACCTGACAAAAAACAGGAAAATTTCCCCAGGCTATTGAGTCTCTGTTGTAAGATAAAGAGTTGTAACAAAGGAAGGCTGCTGGTTCAAAGACAGACAAGTTACTGATTGATAAGTAAAGATCCTGGGAAATTGCTGTAAGAAGAGAATATTTGCTAACATCAAGCTTTTGTTGGTGGATCACTTAACTGCCTAATAGCATGTCATCTGGCTTATTTCACTGAAAGTTACCAGTCTATATTGTTAAACTATAACACCACCTATGTCTCTTGCTGTAACTTTCTGGGCTGGAGAATAAATACAGGAAGGGAACCCCAATTTGTGGTTAATTTCCCAAATGGAAGGAATGCCTCTCTTGTGAGGGTTCCACAAGATTAACCACTTCGGGGCTTCTCACCGCTCAGAAGAGATGGGCTTTGAGTAATCCTTTGTGGCTCCATCACCCAGGGGAAAAGGGGTGACAAATCCGTGGGGGCAAAGCAACACGTGTGTGTATACATGTTTTCTGTGAGTGCATGTGAGTGCACATTCTTGTGTGCATACGTGTGTACATGTGTGTGTTCTTGTGCATGTGTTCCTGTGTGTGTGCGTGCATGCATGAATGTTCCTAATAACCAGGGGCACCAGAGCACTTGAGACACATGGATTTCCCCACCACAGCTGGCTTGTACTTACATAGTTGGAGGCCAGGTCTGGGTGGAGATAGTCAATCCCTGTGAAAAGACAACAACAACACAGGAACCAAAGATTAATACCTGCCACTGTGTCCTCAGGAAAGCTGCTCAAGAAAGCACTCTTGTTGTGGGGCTGGCACCAGGAGACTTGCTACAGGGGTGAGCGTCCATCCAGAGCCCCAGTCCTGCACTCCCTTCTCTTACTGGGGAAGGTGGGCTGTGCCTTCTGATGGAGAGACAGCTGCCCGCAGACCCACTTCACAGGAGTGAAGTCAATTAGACCGTGGGGGCCACGGATAACACTTCTGACATAAATGTCAGCACTAAGGGGCTTAGTGACCACAAGATGGATGGCTCATCAGAGCAGTGATCTAAAAGATTTGTAGAAATCCTGACATTTCTAAAGCATCAACTGGCATTTTTTTCTGAAATGAAACCAGCCCCGGGGAGGAAAAGCAATTATTATTTAACAGGGCACAGACAGCAGTGGATTAGGAGAGTGTTCTCTGGCATGGAAATAATAAGAGGAACACGGCTCGGCGAGAAAAGCCATTAGGCAAAGGGCGAGTGATTTTCAGTGAGGTGCTCGGCTGGGAACTGATGCTTGTCTCTTCAGAATGTGGCTTTCCCAGAAGCCCGAGGCCTGGAATCTCTTTGAGAACTCCTGTGCTTTCCCCTGGATGCGGGCCTGTCTTGTTGCCCAGTGGCTGTTCCCAGGGCAGATTTATGGTCTATGAGCACCACTGAGTTCCATCAGACACTTGGATCCCAGAAAGCACCGTGGAGGTTCAAGGGCAATTGAGAAGCTCTCATCCGGATCTGCAGAGCCACATAATCTTGGCAGCAGTTACACCTGAGTGTCCAGCCCTCTGAGAAACAGGGCAGGTTCCTGATATCACCTAACATAATTGTGGGTGGAGGGTTTTGGAGTCAAAGACCCAAGTTTCACTCCTAACCACCTCCATAACTGACTGCTGGATTTTGAGTAGGTTGCTTGGCTTCTCGGCGCTTGCTTCCTGGCAGTGAGAACATTGCAGGGATTAAAGAGACTAATGCCTGTGTGCTTAGCCCAGCGGCTGGTGCATTTAATAATGACATTAAGATGCGACACTTCAAAACTAGAAGTATCCCGAAGTCCCTCCCCTAGCTGGCATCTTCACTGCTTGCAAACCAAGGCTATGCCACTGTTATAGCTTTGCCCTGCAAAAAATAACATGTATTAAGATGCATATTTCTAAAAAGAAATTTTCTTTTTTTTCTGGTTATACAAATAATTCTGGACTGGGAGTAATGTGTTAGATTTCACTGTCAATATTTTTACAGGTGAAGCAATTGCTGGTATCATGGCTGCTTTCTACAGCTCAGGAGAGAATAGCCAGTCACTTGCCACTTAGAATCATCATGCCTTCTCTTTCCACTCCCCTCTCAAGGTCTGCAGAAGAAAAGAGGTCAGAAAACTCAATGACTGGGCTGGCCAGTTAGCTCAGTTTACTAGAGCACAATTTTGCAACACCAAAGTCAAAGGGTTCGGATACCTGTACCGGCCAGCTGCCAAAAAAAGAAAATTTAAAGACTAATATTTTTAAAGATTGTTGACTCTTGTTCTGCAGCCTCATTCGAAGATGGTTGATTTAGGCTGTGGGGTGGAGTTGGGAATGAGCACAGGCTTTGAGAACAACAGATAGATCCAGCTCCATTTAGACTCAGACACTGTAATATTTGTGTGACTTTGGCCAAGTGACATCATCTCTCTGAACTTTGGTTTTTAATCCTTACATTATTAATATATTCGTTCTTATTTTTTATACTTTTGTTTATTTTTCATCAATGAATGCTAGGAAGAGACAATTTAGACACAGAACCTGAGCTACACAACTGTCTATGACTCACAGTCTTTGAGGGGGACTGACCCATCACCAGCCAATCATAATGAATGTGGCACACAAATGACCAATTCTTGGTTATACTTTTGTTCATAAGTCATTAGTATACTGTTATCAGTTTGAATCTTTTCAAAAAGCCTAATCTACGATATTGCAAATTCTTAGGAAACTCTGGCAGTTCTGGAGAGGTCAGGGAACTAGGAAGGAGTTCCATGTGCATATTTCTAGTTAAGTGCTAATAGTTCAGATGGGATGTGTAACATCTCAGGACACTGGCCTTGAACTCACTTCCTTCCACTGTCCCAAGACAGCCAGCATCTTGCACCCCACCCCCACCAAATTATATGTTGATGAGGAGTAGACCTCAATGAACATATTGTGTTTTCCAGATGGCTGCACATTTTCTCCCATTCCGTATGATCTTCCACAATGTGACAACGCCACACCTCCCACTGAGAGGTGGCTCTGTTGTCTCCTCTTCAATCTAGGTGGGCTTGTGACGGCTTCAATCAATACAGTGTAGTGGAATGCCATTGCATGACTTCTGAGGCTAGGGCAGAAAAGACCAGGCATCTTTCACCTGTTCTCCTTGGATGCTCACTCTGGAGGAAGCCAGATGCCATGTAAGAAGCCATATGTAGTTTAGTGAATTCCTATTATTTTATGTTGCCTCAGCATCCATTTTGAATATAGATTTAACTTTCTCATATCAGAAGCAGGGCTCAGTCACCCTTGACACAGTTTCCAGTTCTCTGCCTCCTCCCAGTTCCTCAGTGTGGTCAATCCAGATATTGGCCCATCATTCACAAAGTCCCACCCATAAAGGGTGAGTTTCAAGCACTGAAGATGGTGGCCAGATTTAGTTGTGAGGCTGTGGGCAGTTTCTTGCCTCCCTAAACCTCAGTTTCTTCATCTGTACAATGGAGATAACAGTAATACCGATCTTAGAAGATAAGTGTGGCTGTGTTTCCAAATACTAAACAGTGTCTAGCACATAATGAGACACTGCCTTGCTGGCCTTCAGTCTTACTTTCTTGGTTCCATCTTATTGGCTAAAGGCCTTGACCCATGCCTTCCCTGACCATCTTTGACCTTGATAGCCAGCCACCTGCCCTGAATCATGCCTGGGCTGGGTGACTCCTGTCATCCCTATCTCTTGCTATGATGATACCCCATTTTCCAGGTCAAGTTTCCAACACCAAATGATTTCATTGCAATAGATGGAATGAAGTTGTCATCATTAAGCAGTGTCCTTGCTGAAGTCCCTATGTCTGGAATATCCCAGTGGATCCTTAGGAAGTGTTTTCTGCTCCTTCGGTCAATAGCTAGCCATGGAGGCACTATCCCAGAGATGTGTAGCATATGGAAATGATATCATGTTGTACCTAAGTGAAGACAGCAGATATTTGTTGAGCATTTATTGAGCCACTGGATCTGGCAGAGGGGGTGATGGCCGTGTTTTGAATTGGGTAACTAGAGAAGGGTGGATGGCTATTAAAACTGTGTCGTCAACAAATGGAAACTTCCACATGCAGATAATTGAACATTTGCCAGACAGGCCAAAATACAGAGAACAAATGTTTTCAAAATATTACATTATTTTTTCCCTTATGTATCAGAGTCAGCATCTATGTCTGTCTTTGACCTTGTTTTGGAACATCCCACTGAGAGACATTCTGGGAAGGGATCCCATACTGTTGTGCGTGCAGGCAGTTAAGGGAGAAAATGCAGTGCTGGTGCGGCCAGCCCCCGCCTTCACAGCAGAGACTCTAAGTTATGTGGCGAGAGGCTGCTGAGCCTCCCATCTCGTCCTCGTTGCATGGAAGGCTGCTCTTGCCCCAGCTGTGCTCATGCTGATATTCAACAGTGGGTTTGGAGAATGGCTTGGTGGTTGTTCTTTTCTTCAGTAGTCATACGGGATAAGCATGGAGTGAATTAGGGATGGGCACGAATCCATTGTCTCTCTCCACAGCGGGAGGCAGAGTCTATTTCCCCTCCTCTGGTGTCTGGGAGGGCCCTGTGACCATTTATGCAACTGAAGTGACAGAGTGATGCTTGCCCCTTTCCAGGCAGGACTGGAAGCTTCCCCCACCCTTTTCTCTCTTAGAATGCCTGCCCCTGAGAGTTCTGAGACACCTGCAAGAAATCCAGCTACCTTGCTGGGGACAACATGTGGAGAGGAGAGGCCCTGGGACTGTATGGAGAAAGAGGGAGGGAGAGAGGCCAAGCCCTTTTAGCACCCCCAGTTGAACCTCCAGTTCATTCCAGCCCTGGCTGTTTTCTGACTCTGACTGTATGAGAGACCCCAATGAGACCTGCAGCAGAACTGTCCAGCTGAGCCCCATCATCCCACAGAACTGTGAGAGATAATAACCTGATGTTTTTTTTTAAGCCACTCAATTTTGGGGTGGTTTGTTCTGCAGCAGTAGATGACTCAAATAATGAAGTCAAGAATTGTAATTGGGGGGCAGAGTTCACTTTTTTTGGATTCCAAAGGCCACTAATCAGCTGAAGAAATAACATTAAACAACAATTTCTTCTGGGAATGTAAAATGGAGTCAGATGTCATCCTTTCCTTTGCTATCTTTGGAAGGGATGACTTCAGACTCAGTCAAGGGGGTTTAGTGAAAGAATTCTGAAACGGGCATCTGCAGTGCTGTTGGAAGTTTCATAAGAGCAATGTGCATGTGTTGTCACTGTACTGCCACTTTTAGAGTGGCTTCTCTGATCTCCAGCAGGGAATAGAAATGTTCATCACAATATATCCTATCTAGATTCCCCCAAACTAGATGCATCTTTTTCCTGGGTGAGTTGGCCTTAATCCCTATTGGAAAGGTTTCCAAACCAAAGTATCAGGAAGGAAGAAGCATTTATAAATTACTGACATCCTTACACATACACTTTTGTGCAGACCTCCTTTCTTCTTGTGAAAGCCCTCGGCCACTGGAAAAAGCTTTTACATCCACTTCAAAACATCTCACACATCAGAAAGCACCGAGGCATTGTTTCCGTGTTGATATTTAATGAGCCCACACAAAGACAACGCAGGTTTTAAGCACACGGACTCCTCTTGTTTTCCCCATCAATTCTGCTTCAAAGGCTTGCTTTGGAGAACACAGTGTTCTTTGAGGATCTTCGGAAGGAACAGGCTGTATTGTTTCATCTCTGTACGGCCTTTGTACAGCATTGAACCAATAATGCACAGTGGGGCTTTTTGCCGGGGAACCCAGAGGCTGATGAAGGGTGACAGCATGTCCCCAATGAAATGCCTACAGGGTGGCAGTTCTACAGAATCTTGGCACCGCCAAGGTCATGTGTAGTTGGAAAAACTATTCATCAAACCCATGGGTTTTCATACTACAGAAATTGAAGTTTTCAAAGTATAGAAAATAAAGCTCTGCTAAATGTCGGGCAGGCATACAGCACAGAATAACACAGAGGAGGTGTTGAAAATAAAGTTATGAAAGTCTGCTTTGTAAGGGTTCATTCTGAAAGTAGCTGTAAAATCAAATTTTCCCAAACCCCAATCATGTTACCAAAAAGCTGTTTTATGGATCTAGAGCCACACCGTCTAACAGAACTTCTTGTGATGATGGAAATGGAACCGAATTGAGTTTCAGCAGCCCCTAGCCCTATGTGGCTATCAAGAACTTGAAGTGAAGCTAGTGTGACTGAGAAATGGAATTTAAATTTTATTTAGCTTTAAGTAATTAAAATTAAAATTTAAATAGTCACATATGGCGAGTGGCTATTATATCAGACAGTGAGGATCTAGAAAAATCAATGGTAAATGTAAATATAAGTAGGCTTAGGAGACAGTTTAAGGAGAGGTGTAAGCAGTGGCTCAATAAGTGAGAGTGGTGGGCAGCTTTCATTTGTTCATTTGTTTAGTTTTTTTATTAATTCAGCGAAATACTTGTTAAAGACACTGTCAAGTTTGAGGACCACTGATCCAGAAAACTAGGGTGTGGTCACACTGTGGTGTCGTCACACTGTAGTGTGGTCATCAGGCCCAGTGTCTGGCTATTCCGTCTCTGATCAGTATCTCCCACACAATGAACGTAAAGACACACTTGCTTCCAAATGATGTAAATACTTTGACATACTCACCATCGTCCATAATTCCAATGGTAACTCCTTTCCCTGTGAATCCCAGTTCCCAGGCTTCTGCCACATTCAAATCGAGGCCAGGAGTGCCATCAGCTTGCCCGGTATTGATCTGGCACAAGAATTCCAAAGCAGGAGAACTTATTAGGTTGGTGTTGGAAATGCTTGCATGCAACTACCTAATCTTCCAGAGCCCCATCTTCCATGAAACAGTACTTTTCAGTGTCCTTCCTCCTCCACCTCTTACAGATTTCCCTCTCCACTTTGTTGATATAAAAATTCATGTTTCTGTTCTATGTAAATATGCAAACACAGTTTCAATCTCCCTATCTCTTATATTTAGATGCTATCTTTAAACTCCTTCTATATTAGAACCTTAGAGCTGCCATTGCCAGAAATGCTCCCTGATTTCATTTATACCTTGTGGTTTAAATTTAGCACGTATTGTCTTCGATTATTCTTATTTGAATATAATTTCCTCACTAAATAACAATATCCTTTGCAGGAGAAAGCCAGCATGTCCTATTTACCTTTGCAATGTCAGTATCACAACACTATATCTTGCTCAAAAAATATTTGTTAAACTGAATTAAATATAACTGGCTCACCTATAGTGCATGATCTAATGCAGAAAAATAAAGACCTCCTCTCAAAAAAAATTCAAAAATGAAAGAAAGGAAAATGAAAAAAATCCCCAATTAATATGTTTACCATCACTCTCTTTTCATGAATCTTTGTCCTGTGCAGATTTTCTCAAAGATGGATTATAAAAAAATAATGAAGTCAGAGGTTGTATTGGCGGAAGCCCACAGTGGTTGGTGGCTGTTAAGGTCTGGCTAACACACTGTGTGAAAGTCATTAGTGCTCTTTACAAACATTGCTGTGCTTCTCCTTCTAGGCACATGTTAAGACTACACCTCTTGATCCCTTCTGAAGGTAGAATGGTCACATGACTGGTTTTGGCTAATGACATGTGATCTCATGTGCCATTTGTCACATTCAGGCAGAAGCTTTAAGAGCCAGTGTACAAGTTGCCCCCTTTCCTTGCTGAGGGACTTATGAAAGCAGTGTTGGGATGCAGTTGAGATGGAGCTACATCAGCCTGAGTCCCTGAGGGATCAGGAAGCATCGGTCACAGCAAGAGTGAAAAACAAACTTCCATTTTGATAAGCTACTGTGAGTTGGGGGTTAGGTGTTACTGCAACAAACCTAGCCTATCCTAACACACATAAGCTTGTTCAGTTACCCAGATCAGATTCTCAGACTTTCATGCCAAAAAGCATAAGGCACAGGCAAGCTCTGTAGTCCCAAGAGGGAAACTGTGATGTGTTCCTATAATGCAGCAGTCCACAGGGCTGCCAATTAGTTTTCTCTCTTGCTTATCACCTTTTTAATGTTAAATGAAATAAAGCTTCATTCACATTTATAAATTAGTCACTCTCTTTTCCGCAATATGCCCTGAAGTTCAGGTTGGTTTGGAGTCTCTGAGCCCCTCTGAAATATAACCTAACCAATCCAAATGGATCATGATGGACTTGATAAGCTGGAAAGTTCTCACTTCGCCAGACAGACTGGGTTTCAGTGCCTTGAAGCCCGCATCAATTAAACCCCATGGAATTGATTTCCTGCCATTGTTTTAGGAGCACTAATAGATGCTACTTTTGCCACTTTAGTCTCTGAGCTTTCTTGCTTGCCTCTTGTGAAGTCACCAGATTCTTTCTCTTATGCCTGTGACTTTATTATGTCCTTCAGTTACTCTGCCTGTTGAGACCCCTGGATTACTCCTCCTGGACGTTTGATTTGACTTTTACATATTTTTGCAAGTCTTCACTCATACACTGGTGCACTTTTTCACAGTCTAAGAGAATTTGATCAGCTGTTAGTAGTAGCTTTGACCCTAGGAGATCATGGTGATTTATCAGTTCCAGAAGAAAGCAGATTAGAGAACAAGATGCACAGGTGGTGATAGAAAATCAATAAGTGTCGAAGTGGACAGAGATGTTTGTGGAGTCAGGCACTGGCTAGCATCCTGATGAATAATGAAGAAGCGGAAATACATCTTTATCTGGAGTCTCAAGAGGAGAAACATTAGAAACAACACAGAGACACTTACCAGATACCATTGCTTTGTAAAAAGAGGGTCGTTCATGTTGATGTCAATCTCATTGATGTCTCTGTACCCTCGCTTTTTCCGGTCAAATCCTTCCTGTTGCAAGGCCATCTTCACCTGGAATGACAATACTGGTACATTACCTGAACGTCATCTCAACTCCTCTCTTCTGGAATTTGTTTCCACAAATTCAAATTTCATTTGTACATAGTGTGTTTTTTTCCTCAGCAAAAACAAGCACATCTCATCTATTTCCCAAGAGCATTTACTTATGATTGCACAAAACAAACAGGTCTAGGTGATGACTCGAAGTAAGTTTCCTTAAAATAAGAATTATATGGAGAAAACTATTCTCAAGGAAGAAACAGTGGTGGGGTCATTGAGTGAAATAAAACAAAACAATGGAACATTTCTACCAAGGAAAGGAGATTGATCTGGGTTCAGGGAGGTGAGAATGAAAAGTGTACAGACCATTTTTCTGGAGGTGTCCCCAGTCTTCACATTTGTTGACAGGACTGAGCTATCATGTTTGGGAATCTGCCACAAAACCCCCAGAAACCTGCCCAGAGAGCCAGCAAGTCCCACAGCAAAGCCCTGGAAGGTAAGTGAGGAACTTTTGAAAAGAAATTGCTGGGTGGTGCTGCTGTCCTTGCACTGATATTTCATTTTTAGACAGTCGGACGGTACCCCAAACTCTTGGATGGAAATGAAACTTAGGAGCTGAGTTAGTTTAAGCAGACTCCTGGCAACGGCTAGGGGTTATCCCGATGGGGAAACTTTCTTTCACTTGGACAATAATTTATCATCCAATAGCTGTGGTCAGCCCCTAAGCATCTACAAACTCAAAGACTGTGCACGCATATAAAAGGGTGTGTGCCAGATATCAATTATTTTAATCACATGCGTGGCCCAACATTTATTTTTCCTCTTCCCAAGTCTCCCCAGTATCTTTGGGGAAACTACCTCAAGTCCATTGGCTTCTGTGTTGGTGGGAGTGAAATTCTAGGCACCTGCCTGCTGTAAAGACCTCGAAGTCCCACTCTACCTCAAGGGTACCTCCATGGTGTCTCTCTTCCAAGATATGAATCTTAGGGAGGTGACACAAAGGCAAGGAACCCCAGAGCTTCACTCACCAGCCTCCCTTTAAGGGATCCTCAAGCAGTTCCTACAACCCTGCCCTGGAGCCCGCTCAAGGCTGATTGCTCAGCTTCCCATGGACTGTGAGTCCCTGCTGTCTCTGCAACAACTTCTCTTTTGCTGAAGTGACCCAGAAACAATTTCTGTTGCTTGCAATCAAGAACTCTTAATTGATAGAGGATGAGAGTAGGACGACAGAGCGCAGGTCAAGAATGGCTGTGGGAAACGAAGAACGAAGAGACACAGACCGGTGCAAACCCCTTCCCTTCCTTGCTGCCCTGGTTGCTCCTCACTTGGGTCCCGCATAGCAACCCACCAAGGCCTGGAGCTTCTTTGCCAGAGAGATTTTCTATTAGGAACTCTGTACACGTGCAGAAGAAGTACCAGGTGTGGCCCTGGCACTGTGAGTTCTTTGGAGGTATTCCAGCAAGGGACATTCACTGTGGCACAGCTTAAAAAGAAAATTCCCACCCAAGAAATAGTGAAATAATTGAAAAAATGGGATAGATTGGTATTTTTATAATGGCAAAAACCTGGACACAACTAATGTCCATCAAATGGAGAAAAATTATGATTCAAACATATACCCATGTGCATATATGTTCATGTATGTGGATGTGTACATATATAATTATATACGAATGTGCATGTGTATGTGTACACATGTATACCCTCTAAGAAGCAGATGCCAAGATGGGATTAAATGTGCAAGGATTTTATTAGAAGAGAAAATATAAGAAACTATGTTGCTAGTCTGACCCGGAGTGAGGAAGAGTTTAAACAAAGCTGGGCAAATGGTCCTCGGCTGCCCCATAGTCTAAGAAAGGGGTGGCAAGTCTGTTGGGGATCGACATTTGGCTGTTAGAAGAATCCTGTTTCTCCCAGGGATGGGCCTGCCTCAGTACCCCTGCCGCACCCAGTCACTGGCTGGAAGCAGGGAGCAACTGTGGCAAGTGTGGCCTTGTTGTCACACAGTGGTAGATTTCAGATTTCATGTGGCAAGTGTGGCCTTGTTGTCACACAGTGGTAGATTTCAGATTTCATGTTTATATATGTGTATTTGTTAGTGTAGAACACTCAAATGTCAAAGTAAATGTATAGTTCTCAACCAGAAAGATAGCCAAGGCACACCCCTCTTGAAACCTTCCTTTACTATGGAAGCAAGTATTCAAACAAGAGTGTCACCTCAGCTTGAGAAAAAAGGAACCCGAATTCAGCACTTGCGTCTTCTCATTTCGGTCCCACCGTGAGACCTTTACCTGCTCTACTCACTAACGGGAAGCCTTGATTGACTTCCACTGAGGAATTCCCATTATATCGGGCTTATTGTCGTGAATAACTTTTCTTTTTTTTTTTTTGTCTTTTGTCTTTTTCCGTGTCCGGCCACGGATCGCAACCCTCAGTGTCGTCCCCGTACCGGACCGGGGACCGGCAACGGGATTGCAACCCTCAGTGTCGCCCCCGTACCGGACCGGGGACCGGCAACGGGATTGCAACCCTCAGTGTCGCCCCCGTACCGGACCGGGGACCGGCAACGGGATTGCAACCCTCAGTGTCGCCCCCGTACCGGACCGGGGACCGGCAACGGGATTGCAACCCTCAGTGTCGCCCCCGTACCGGACCGGGGACCGGCAACGGGATTGCAACCCTCAGTGTCGCCCCCGTACCGGACCGGGGACCGGCAACGGGATTGCAACCCTCAGTGTCGCCCCCGTACCGGACCGGGGACCGGCAACGGGATTGCAACCCTCAGTGTCGCCCCCGTACCGGACCGGGGACCGGCAACGGGATCGCAACCCTCGGTGTCGCTCCCGCGCCTCGCTCAGCCAGTGAGCGGAAACCGGTCTGTATATGGGATCCGAACCCTTCGGTCTGTATGTGGGATCCGAACCCTCGGGCGGGAGCACCACCGCGCTTCCCAAGTGGCGCACTATCCAGTGCGCCACCGGGCCGGCCCATCGTGAATAACTTTCTGAAGGTAGCGCCTTTCCTTGCTAGGATCTTCCATAAACAAGAGCAACAACCGTGTTTCCTGGCAGCACAAGAATAAAAAGACTCGCATCCGATTTACCTTTTAAAATAGCAGTGCAGGAATGGCTATTACCGTCGCTCCAAACTTAATTAGGCCAAGTACACTCTAATGAAAAGACTGCTTAAATTCATTTCCATAAAATTAATTTTTAATTCTATAAATTAGGTTTTAATGGAAACCAGCGAGGCTTTGGAAAGCTGCACTCTCCGGACACCACCCTCCTCGCATCGCAGGAATTTAGAAATCCCAAGACTGGAGGAAGCTCTCTGAGTCTATTAAATTATCTTCCTATCCTCAGTGAAGATCACAAGCACACTTCAACAGTGATGAACACTTTTAAAAATATGTATTTTTATTTGTTACCACAAATAACAAGAACAGTTTTTTTCACAAGGATACCATGTAAACCCATCAATTGCTTTTATTTTTCTGGGTTCGTGTTCAATACTAATTCATATTCACACTTAATTTTTACACAGTAGTAATCACACTATAGATAAAATTGTGTATTCTTTCTTCACTGAGTATCCTACTATAAGAATTTTAATATGCTCCTACATAGCTTTCATATTTTAATTTCAAATGGGTACCTAAATATTCCAATATTGAGTCAAACACCAAAATTTACCCAGCTATTTCCTTCTTATGGGTCTTTTAGATTGTTTTCTACTATAAATGAAATTTTCATGACCAGGGACATGAGGTTATAAACTGTTTTTAAAGACCTCTGGGGAAGATTTTAGTGTTACAGTTCTACATGTGATAAAAAGCCTTTAATGTGAGAGAAATATCTCCTCGTGTTGAAACTTTATTTCTCACATTAGACCTACAAGGCCACTGACTTAATCTCTCTTCCCACTTCTCTGAATTTTAACTTTTACACATGACGCCTTTATTACCATTTAGATGTGATACCAATGGCATGTGTACAACTTAATTATAGCTTCTTCCCCTTCTCCAAAATAATGTTGCAGTTAACTTTGGTATTTAGTTTTAGAATGATTCCCCATATTGGGTTGTTGATCTAAACATTTATACAAATAAAAAATATAAGAAAAATATAATAAATCAGGAGTTTGTTATTGGGTATTATTTTAGTAAAAATGAACAGATGTATACTCTACGATTCTGGTTTAACTAGAAACTTCACAGAGCGTGTCCCTGACAGCGCCTTGATTTCAGACTCCTGGTCTCCGGAGCTGCAAGAGAATAAATTTCTATTGTGCTAAGCCACTTAGTTTATGATACCTTGTTACGGCAGCCTGAGGAAACTCATACAACCACTAAGGATTAAACTACGTTGCAATGCTTTCTTCTCATGTGGAAACTTTATTTTGTACTGAAAGTGCTCTTCTAGTTTTATTTGGACAAAGATTTCTTTTACTGTATGTACTCAAGAAATGCCAGCAATTACTACTATCATGACTGCTGATGCTGTCATATTTCAGGCCCTGGGGAGAGGCAGTGGGAAGGTACTTTCCCTTATTCCAGCCCGCATCAAGCCAGGCTTGTCTTATTCCAAAGCAGCCCAGAGTTTGCTCCTTTCTTCCTGCTCTTAATGAATTAAAGACAAACCAAATTAAACATGGATAGAGAAATCCATTGGAGCCCACTCCCATGTGTGTCCCAAATGCGGAAGTCCCCACCCGCAGGAACAGCACATCTCCACCTTTAAAAAACAAACAAACAAACAAACAAACAAACAAACAAAACGTTATATTTTGAGAGCAGTTTCAGCTTCATGGCAAAATTGAGCAGAAAGTACAGAGAGTCCCCATGTACCTCCTGTCCCTACACACGCACAGCCTTCTCCACGATTAACCTCCCCCACCAGAGTGGTGCATTTGTTACAACTGATAACCTATGTGGACACATTATTACCACCCAATGTCCATAGATTACTTCAGGGTTCATTGTTGGGTGTCCTCCTTTTTCTGACTTTGCCTTT